TGTCTTGGCTTACTGCAACCTCCACCTCCTGGGTTCAAGTGATTCTCCTGCCTCAGCCTCCCAAGTAGCTGGGATTACAGGGACGTGCCACCATGCCCAGCTAATTTTTGTATTTTTAGTAGAGATGGGGTTTCACCATGTTGGCCAGGCTGATCTTGAACTCCTGACCTCGTGATCTGCCCACCTTGGCCTCCCAAAGTGCTGGGATTACAGGCATGAGCCACCGCACCCAGTTAATTTTTGTATTTTTAGTAGACACAGGGTTTCACCATGTTGGCCAGGATGGTCTCAGTCTCCTGACCTTGTGATCTGCCTGCCTCAGCCTCCCAAAGTGCTGGAATTACAGGTGTGAGCCACCGCGCCCAGCCTATTATTATTATTTTTGAGATGGAGTTTCGCTCTTGTTGCCCAGGCTGGAGTGCAATGGTGCAATCTCAGCTCACTGCAACCTCTGCCTCCCGAGTTCAAGCGATTCTCCTGCCACAGCCTCCCAGGTAGCTGGGATTACAGGCATGCACCACCACGTCCCGCTAATTTTGTATTTTTAGTAGTACAGACGGGGTTTCTCCATGCTGGTCAGGCTGGTCTCGAACTCCTGATGTCAGGTGATCCGCCTGCCTCAGCCTCCCAAAATGCTAGGATTACAGGCGTGAACCACCGTGCCCAGCCTGCTCAGCTAATTTAAAATTTTTTTTTGCAGAGATGATGCCTAGGCTGGCCTCAAACTCCCAGACTCAAGTGATTCACCCGCCTCAGTCTCCCAAAGTGCTGGGTTACAAGCGTGAGCCACGGCGTTCAGCTTGCTTTATTTTCTTGTCATAGTGCCTACTACTACTTGATTTTCAGGAAGTCCTCTCCACATCCCATGCCATGAGGAATCAAAGCCCTATCTGTGCTGAGGGCAAGGGTTCTACGGGGCCATTTACTTCCTGATCTTTCCAAGCAAGACATAGTTAGTCTGCAGTTTGAAGGATTTAGGCTAGACAGTGTCTCTGCTCTCCCAGATATTACAACAATGAGCACACTGTCATCATTGTCTATCCCATCCTCATCACACTAAGTTAATCAATAATGTCTGATTCAACTGTCTTCCCAGGGCCGGGCATTGCGTCTGGGCATAGGAAATGATGAATAAATGACTGCTGAGAATGAATGGATGAATGTAATCCATCCATTCACTCAACAAATATTTATTAACTATGACATACCAGGCACTTTTAGAGTGCTGGACATACAAAGTGACAAAGTCTCTAACCGCTTGTTTCTTACATTTTAGATGGAGAGACAATTAACAAGTTACTATATAACTGTTGGGAGAACCAGTTCGCAATGGGCCCTGGGCGTCCCTGCATGTTCTCGCTGGGTATGCCAAGAAAGCCAGACCCCGACAGCTCTGTACCCAGGCTGCGTTTGCAGCAAGGAACCTTGAAAGATGAGCTAAAGTCTCCCACCCGACAAAGAACAGCATGCTCACCACTCGCTATAAAAGCAGTAAATTGGCAGGGTCTGCTGATGTGCATCGGTAGTCCCAGCTATTCAGGAGGCTGAAGCAAGAGGACTGCTTGAGGCCAGTAGTTTAAGAGCCGCCCGGGCAACATGGCCAGATCCACTTGGTGGCACTTGCCTGTAGTTCCAGCTACTCAGGAGGCTAAGCCAGGAAGATTACTTGAGCCCAGGAGTTTGAAGCTGTAGTGAGCTATGATCATGTCACTATACTCCAGCCTGGGCAACAGAGTGACACTCCAACTCAAAAAAAAAAAAAAAAAAAGGCCAGGCACGGTGGCCCACGTCTGTAATCTCAGCACTTCAGGAGGCCGAGGCACGAGGATCACTTGAGGCCAGGAGTTTGAGACTAGCCTGGGCAAGCTGGGGAAATCCCATCTTTACTAAAAATACAAAAATAAATCAGGCGTGGTGATGCACGCCTGTAATCCCAGCTCCTCTGGAGGCTGAGGCAGGAGAATCGCTTAAACCCAGGAGGCAAAGGTTGCAGTGAACCGAGATCGCGCACATTGCACTCCTGTCTGGACCCCGGAGCGAGACTCCGTCTCAAAAAAAAAAAAAAAAAAAAGTACTGTGTATGAGCATGAATGAACGAAAGTGCACAAAGAAATCACTAAAAATCTGCTTACTGTGGAGCATGGAACAAAAGGCCTGTCCACCACGTGTTCCGCGGGTGGTGCTGGAATGCCCCTCAGAAAAGGAGATAAACGTTCGGTTCCTTTAAGAGGCCCAGTCCCGTCCCGCGAAGCCCCGCCTATAAGGAGGTACGTGCCCCCAGGCCGCGCTCTAGGGGCGGGACTCAGGGCGGTTTGAAAGATCGGCGCGCACAGCAGGAGCGGCGGTCGGCCTTGAGGCTGTGATGTCGGTGTTGAGGCCGCTGGACAAGCTGCCCAGCCTGAACACGGCCACCATCTTGGTAGGTGCCGGCGGCCCCGCTTCCCCCGCCGGCCTTTACCTCCTGGGCGGCGCTTCAGCCAGTAGGTCAACTGAGCTCCCTAAGGCGCCGAGCCAGCGAGCGCTACCGTAGCGGGACGGGGAAAAGGCGGAGAGCCACGCTCTGAACCAATCGGAGTAGCCGCTCTCTAAGGTTGAGAGACGCACCCACCAATAGGTGCTCGGCGGGCCCTTCCCATCTTCTGATGAGCGGGTTCCCGCGCCTGGATTTGGTTTTTCCGCGTCTGGGGGTCTGGCTTCCTGGAGAGGCCCGCGGTCTAAACGAGGATCGAGTAGTAGAGAGTGCGGTGCCCACAGGCCTGCAGCGGGTCCAAACCTCAGGACCCCAGCCTGTGCCGCATCGCGGGGTCCACTTCTCGGGAAATGTCCTCGGAGCCGCCTGCTGGCGGCGGCCCGATCTCCCCGGGAGTGGGTCGAAGGGCCAGGCCCTCCCCAGGGGTTGCTGTGCCTCGGGCTCGACGGTCCGCTCTCTCTCCCTGCGCAGCTGGTAGGCACGGAGGATGCTCTTCTGCAGCAGCTGGCGGACTCGATGCTCAAGGAGGACTGCGCCTCCGAGCTGAAGGTGTAAGTAGGCGCGGCTGTGGCCTGGGCCCACGTGTCTCTCACTCCAGAGGGATTCAGTCCTAGCTGCTAAACCCCGAAGCCCAGCGCCCCCTCCTCTGAGGCTGGTCCTTCTCCCAGCATGCAGCGTAGCTGGCTAGGCCCATGCCGTCTTATATCCCAACCTCCCCTTGCCGAGGTGGTGACTAAACAGAGGCCCTTTCTGGCAGAGGGAATCAGACAGGAGTAATCTGAATAGGACCGGCCGAGTCCTGCCTCTGTGCTGGCCCAAGGAGTTGTGGCCGCAAGAGCCTCGGGTGGCTAGGATGAGGTGGGGAACCCTTGACGGCCTCTTTCCCCATGAAGGGCAGCATTTAAACGGTCGCCGTGAAGGCGGTACGGTTATCTTGAGTCCTGCAATTTCCTGTTTTTCAGCCACTTGGCAAAGTCCCTCCCTTTGCCCTCCAGTGTGAATCGGCCACGAATTGACCTGATCGTGTTTGTGGTTAATCTTCACAGCAAATACAGGTGAGAGCCAGAGGAAGGGGCAGTCAGGGCTTAGGCAGGCCTGGCTCAGAACTGTGCTGGGAGAGTGACCTAACTTGTGATGGAAGTGGTGAGGATGGGAGAGGCTGTCTGAGGTCAATCCTATAGGGTGAGGAAAGAGGAGGCAGTGGCCAGTGCACAGTGTTTAAAAGACAACGGCCAGGCACAGTGGCTCACACCTGTAATCTCAGCACTTTGGGAGGCCGAGGTGGGCAGATTGCCTGAGACCAGCCAGGGCAACACGGTGAAACCCCGTCTCTACTAAAATGCAAAACATTAGCCGGGCGTGGTGGCTTGCGCCTGTAGTCTCAGCTACTTGGGAGGCTGAGGCAGAATTGCTTGAACCCAGGAGGTGGAGGTTGCAGTGAGCCGAGATCGGGCCACTGCACTCCAGCCTGGGCAACAAAGCGAGACTCTGTCTCAAAAAAAAATAATAATAATAATAAAGTCCACCTATAATAAAGAACGAAAGCATAACCTTTGCAGCAACCTGGATGCAGCTGGAGGCCATTATGCTAAGTGAATTAACACAGGAGCAGAAAATCAAGTACTACATGTTCTCACTTGTAAGTGGGGGCTAAACATGGGGTCCTCATGGACACAAAGATGGCAACAATAGACACTGGGGACTACTAGAGCAGGGAAGGAGGGAGGGGGCAACGATTGAAAAACTATTAGGTCCTATGCTCAGTACCTGGGTGATGGGATCATTTGTACCCCAAGCCTCAGCATCACATGGTATACCCATGTAATAAACCTGTACATGTACCCCCTGAATCTAAAATAAAAGTTGAAATTATTTTTAAAAAACATTAAAGGACATAATGGGGCATGGTGGCTCATGCCACTTTGGGAGGCCGAGACCGGTGGATCGCTTGAGGTCAGGAGTTTGAGACTAGCCTGGCCAACATGGCAAACCGTGTCTCTACTAAAAATACAAAAACTAACTGAGCGTGGTGGCATGCACCTGTAATCCCAGCTACTCAGAAGGCTGAGGCTGAGGCAGGAGAATCACTTGAACCCAGGAGGTGGACATTGCAGTGAGCCAAGATCGCACTACTGCATTCCAGCCTGGGTGACAGTGAAACTCCATCCCCCCCCAAAAAAAAGGACAAAGTATTTCTCCAGAGAATGTCACCCTCTTGTCATTCTCTGGCCTCTAGGATCAGAGAAGCAAGGGCTTCTGCCTTCTCTGTTGTAAAGTTTTGTTCTCTGGTGTGTTTTCTCACTCTGGCCTGGCCACCCCAGCCTCCAGAACACCGAGGAGTCCCTGCGCCATGTGGATGCCAGCTTCTTCTTGGGGAAGGTGTGTTTCCTTGCCACAGGTGGTAAGTACGTCCTTCGCCTGTTACCGCCCACCCCCAGCCAAGGGAAAGCTGGGGCGGGGATAGGCTTCTTGCTGAGGCACCCTGGGTGATGGAAAGAACATGTATTTTACACACACTGGGGCCTATCAGAGGATGGAGGGCGGGAGAAAGGAGAAGATCAGGAAAAATAACTAATGGGTACTAGGCTTAATACCTGGGTGACAATATGTACAACAAACCCGATAACACAAGTTTACCTACATAACAAATCTGCACATGTACCCCGGAACTTAAAAGTTAAATTTAAAAACCGGAAGAACATATATACACATACTTTGGAATCTGACCTGTTGTCAGCGTAAGAGTGAATCTGAGCAGATAACTCTGCTGTTGCTTGGAGTTGCCTAGTGGTTGCCTGTGGCTTTCAGTAAAATCCAAACTCTAAAGACACAAAGCACTTTGCAGTTTGGCGTCTGCCTTCTGGGCTGGTCTCATCTCCGGTTACTCTCCTTCTCTGGGTCAGCTGCTGTTCCTGAGACTTTGTAATATTAACAGTGAAAATAATAATGGCTAACCTCTTTTGAGCTCTCACTGTGAGGCAGACACTGTAATTGCTTTGTTTTCATATTAATGTTTGAGGTAGGTATTATTACCTCCGTTTTAGAGTCATGAGGTTAAGTTGCCCAAGGCCCCTAGATAAAAAGTGGTAGAGCCGAGGTTCACACCTAGGTAAGTCCTGTTGCAGGGCCCATCCTTTTTTTTTTTGAGTTGGAGTCTTACTCAGCCACCCAGGCTGGAGTGCTGTGGCATGATCTCGGCTCAGTGCAACCACCATCTCCGGGGTTCAAGCGATTCTCCCATCTCAGCCTCCCGAGTAGCTGGGATTACAGGCACCTGCCGTCATGCCCAGCTAATTTTTGTATTTTAGTAGAGATGGGGTTTCTCCGTGTTGGCCAGGCTAGTCTTGAACGCCTGACCTCAGGTATCCGCCCGCCTCGGCCTCCCAGAGTGGTGGGATTACAGGCGTGAGCCACCGCACCCGGCCACCCGGCCGGCCCGTCTCTTTTTGTTTACTCTAGGCTTCTCTCAAATACATTTCCTCTTATTTATCTTGCTAACCCCTACAAATACCTCAAAACTCAGCCCCAGTGTCACTCTGGCATGCATGAGGTGTCTGACCTGTCTGCCCTTCTAGCCTTTCCAGCTGAACTAGCTCCTTTTTTTTTTTTTTTTTTTTTGAGACGGAGTCTCGCTCTGTCGCCCAGGCCGGAGTGCAGTGGCCGGATCTCAGCTCACTGCAAGCTCCGCCTCCCGGGTTTACGCCATTCTCCTGCCTCAGCCTCTCTAGTAGCTGGGACTACAGGCGCCCGCCACCTCGCCCGGCTAGTTTTTTTTTTGTATATTTTTTTAGTAGAGATGGGGTTTCACCGTGTTAGCCAGGATGGTCTCGATCTCCTGACCTCGTGATCCGCCCGTCTCGGCCTCCCGAAGTGCTGGGATTACAGGCTTGAGCCACCACGCCCGGCCAACTGTTAGCTCCTTGAGCAGAGCGCCTGGCACGGCACAGATAATTCTCAAGAAGCATTGATGAGCAAATGCAGGCCAAGCAATTTATAGATGTCAACTCACTGATTCTAGAGTGAATCTAGAGTGGGGTAGGAGCTATTATTATCTTCATTGTCTAATTTGATATTCTTGACTACCTAGAAAAGAAAGTAGAATAGGACTGTCACCCTCGTGACTAGAAAGAAACTGAGCCAAAGAGTGGGGAAGTGAGGGACTCTGCCCAGCACTTCCTGAATTCCAGACAGGAAGGTAGAGATTACAGCTATGGCACTCATGATTTCTTTCCAGCTGGGCGGGAGAGCCACTGCAGCATTCACCGGCACACCGTGGTGAAGCTGGCCCACACCTACCAAAGCCCCCTGCTCTACTGTGACCTGGAGGTGAGCATGCTGACCACAGACACCAACACTACACTCGGGTGCGGGGAAAGGGTGGTCAGCACACAGTGGGCACATCGGGAATGGTTATTGAAGGACTCAGTATCCGAGCGAGGCAGCTTCTGAAGTGGAGGGAGACACAGGATCCTGGTTTGAGTCCTGGCGTTTCTGTTTACTGGCTGTGACCTGGGCAGGTCACCCTGAGCCTTGGAGTACACAGGTGTGAAGCGGGGGTGATGTGCTTTCATTTGGAGTGCATCTTATATGCCAGGCTCTAGCACGTGCTGCCCTGCTTTTCTTTTTGCTGAGTTCCTGCATGCTTAGTTATAACTAAGTCTTCCGTGTATGTATCTGTGAGTCTCCTCTCCTGCTGGGGTGTAAATGATTGAGGCCAGGCGTATGTCCGTCTCATTACCTGGTGCATCCTTGTGTCCCCTGGGAGTCAGAATGCCTGATTTGGCCTTAACTCTCTGTATTTCAGACCTTGTCTAGTCCCATCCCAAGCCAGGGTACCCAGCAGGCGGTAGGGATGTTTGTTGGGTGGGCGGGTAGATGGTTGGATGGATACGTAGGGTGTTCTGCCCCGACTGGATTCTATTGGTGTTTCCCACAAGGTGTAACTAATCATGAGAGGTAGGAAAGTAGCCTTTTTGTTGTTGTTGTTGTTGTTTTAGATAAGATATTGCTCTGTTGCCCAGGCTGGAGTGCAGTGGTGTGATCATGGCTCACTGCAGACTCGAGCTCCTGGGCTCAAGTGAACCTCCCACCTCAGCCTACTGAGTAACTAGGACTACAAGCGTGCACCACCGCACCTAGCTAAGTATTTAGTTATTTATTTACTTACTTTTTAATGTAGAGATGAGGTCTTGCTGTGTTCCCCACACTGGTCTTGAACTCCTGACCTCAAGCGATCCTCCCACTTTAGCCTCCCAAAGTGCTGGGATTACAGGCATGAGCCACCGCGCCTGGCCTTTAGCCCCTTTTTATGCAGGATAAATCCTGATGACTTTTTGCTCCAGAGGCCTCAGCAGGAGTTGATGTGCTCCCCCCGAGGGGTCTACTGAGGGGCCCCAGGGCCCACACTGCCACACCCACGCGCCAGGCCTGCTGCATTCCTTTGGAAGCCTATTCATTGGTTTTGAGATACATTTTGAAGAGTTGTGTTTCTGCTCTGTTCTGGGTCTTGTGCCTGTTACCAAAAGCAAAGTGATGAAATGCAGGGAGAACCGAGTGAGCACACGATCTGTCACCACCAATCCGTCGCCACTGTCTAGACCGGGGTCCCTTATCCTAGTTTCGGCACTCCTCTGGTCTAAGGGCAGAATTCAGAGGATAGCAGTCTGTGGCTGTCACCGTAGAAATGGGGATGTTTTCATATCACATTAGGATTGGACAGGTCTCATCATGTGGCAGCAGCCGTTAGGCCTGCCCCTCAGTCGATGCATCGATCACGATACACACTTGACTCATGCATTTGTTTTCCTATTTGATGACTACTTTTCGAGCACCTGACCAGACCAGCACTCTGATCTCATAGATGGGACCCTGAGGCCTGGGCACACCTGAAGTGCCTTCACCTGCCAGGCTTTCCTCCCAGAGAGACGAGGTGACTTGCTCAGGGTCAACAGCTCATGAGTGAGGGGTAGAGCCAGCTGTTCTCCTTTCCTAGCCTGCTGACCATGTGACCTTGATTAGGTCACTTTGCCTGCCACAGAGCATTAGTTTTCTCATCTCTAAAGGGGAATCACGATCTTTGCTCCATAGTTCAGGTGCTGGTGGGGGACAATGGTGCCTGCTCACCTTGTGACAAGTGGTGCAATTCTGTCTGTGGCCATGAGGTGGCGGGCCAGACCAGGTCCTGGGTTCTTTCATGGCCTGGGCAGGAAGCAGGAGGCCCCAGCCTGGTTCTAGCTGCAGCAGGAGCTGCAGAAATGCCTGCTCAGAACATAGGCCTGCATCCCTCAGTTGGAGCACCCAGGGTTTGAACAGGCCTCCCTCTTCATGCTGGTGTTGTCCTCTTTAGAACACTCTTCTGGATAATTGAGTTTGAGCCCCACCATATATCTTGAGGCCTCTGCATGGCACGAATTACCAGCCCCGTTTCATTGATGAGGAAATACAGGAAGGTGTATGATTGGCCCAGTGAGATAACTGCCTAGGTCTGCTGGTAGGGCTCTGTGCTGGGCCCTGGGAACACAAATGACTCAGATATTGGCCCTCCCCTCTCAGAATCTCATGAAATAAGCAGACATGTAACACACGCAACAGCCGAAGGATTTGCTGAGCTTTGGGAGCCTGGCGGTAGAATTAGGTCATTTCTTCCTGGATGTCATGGGCAAAGTCATGACTGTGGTCAGACCTGGGCATTTGGGTCATGTCTCTGGAGTGATGTGGATTGGAGGAAGCCTGGCCAGAGGCAGGAGGCTGGGTCAAGGCTGCTGCAAGAGGCAGGTTGTGGACCCTGAGCCTCAGCAGCCTGGAGATAGATTTTGGGAACAAAGTCCACCAGACTTAGAGTGAGAGGATTTATTAACACTTCCTGAGTTTCTGTGGTGCCAAGCACTGTTCTAGGCTCCAGGGACACAGCACGGAACAAAACAGTCAAAAACCTCAGCTTCCTGCTGGGCACTATAGCTCATGCCTCTAATCCCAGGGAGGCCGACGTGGGAGGATCACCTGAGGTCAGGAGTTTGAGACCAGCCTGGCCAACATGGTGAAACCCAGTCTTTACTAAAAATACAAAAATTAGCTGGGCATGGTGGCACGCTCCTGTAATCCCAGCTACTCAGGGGACTGAGGAACAAGAATCGCTTGAACCTGGGAGGCAGAGGTTGCAGTGAGCCAAGATGGTGCCACTGCACTCCAGCCTGGGTGACAAAGCGAGACTCTGTCTCAAAACAAAACAAAAAAAGCCCCAGCTTTGTTCTAGTCAAGGAAACAAACAGGGTAAATGAGGTGCTGGAAAGTAGAGGCGTGGCGTATCAGGTGGTGGTAAACAGGCAAGAGTTAGGCAGGGTGACCAGGGAACGCCCCTGCAAACAGGACTTTTAAATAAATAAAGAGCTGAAGGAAGTAGGCGGGCAGGCCATGGAGATACCTCGTGGCAGGAAGAACAGCAAGTGCATGGGTCGAGTGTGAGACTTGCCTGGTGTGCTCAAGGTCTGGCAGGGAGGCCTGGGTGGCTGCAGCACAACAGCAAAGGACGGGTTGGGGTGTAGAAATCAGGAATGGTGGGGCTGGATCAGTGGAGCCTGGTGGGGAGTTGCTGGAGGGCTCAGGGCCAGGGAGGGATGTGGCCTGACTTGGGTTTTAAATGGACCCCTTTGGCTGCTGGGAGGAGAGTGGGCTGAAGGGAAACTAGGGCAGAAATAGAGAGACAGGTCTGGAGGCTTTTTTTTTTTTTTTTTTTTTTTTGAGGCAGACTTTCGCTCTGCTGCCCAGGCTGGATGGAGTACAATGGCGCGATCTCGGCTCACTGCAACCTCCGCTTCTGGGGTTCAAGTGATTCTTCTGTCTCAGCCTCTCAAGTAGCTGGGATTACAGGCGCCCGCCACCACGCCCAGCTAATTTTTGTATTTTTAGTAGAGACGGGGTTTCACCATATTGGCCAGGCTGGTCTCAAACTCCTAACCTCCTGATCCGCCCGCCTCAGCCTCCCAAAGTGCTGGGATTACAGGCGTGAGCCACCGCGCCCGGCCTGGAGGCTCTTTCTAGGGGAGTTAAGCATGGACTCAGTGCTGGCCAGGAAAAAGGATGGTGGGATAGTCTATGACACCGGCTGCTTCCAGGATGGAACCAGCCAACTGTTCTGTGGCCAGAATGTGAGGCATGAGAGAAAGAGGAGTCCTCCCTGACTCTGAAGGTTTTGCCAGCTGACTGGAAGGATGGAGTTGTCTTTGGCTGAGCTAAGGAAGCCTGCAGGAGGAGCAGGTTTTGGGGGCTTCAGGGGCTCTACTTTTGGCATGCAAAGATTAAGGGGTCTATTAGCCACCTGGGTGGAGAAATCAAGTCAATAGCCGCATACATGTGTGACATTCAGAGGGAAGACTTGGAGGTGTAATTTGGGTGTTATTAGCAACTGGGTGGTTTTAAAGCCACAGAACTGGACGAGGTCACCGGGGGACTGAGTGTGGGAGAAGAGATCCAAGGACCGAGCTCTGGAGCCCCAGCATGTAGATGCTGGGCAAAGGCGAGGGAGCCGCCTGTGTGGGAGCGGAACCCTGGGTGAGTGCGGGGGCCTGGGAGCCAGGCAGAAAAAGCGTTTCAAGGAGGGAGTAAACAGCTGTGGTGGACTCTGTCAATAGCGCCAGTGCGGTGAGGACTGAGAAGCTGCCACTGGGTCTAATACCAAGGAGGTCATGGTAGCAAGCGGTGGGAGTAAGAGCAGTGAAGTTGAGGATACCCTGGTCTCTACTTTGGGTGGGTGGTGACACCCCAACCTGCCCCCAGCTAGAGAGGAAACAAGGTGAGATGCTTCTGAGGCCACATGTCAGACAGGGGAAGACACTGGCCAGCACCGTGATCTTCCAGCAGACATGTCTAGAGCATCTGTGCCCGGGCCTGGAGCAGTCTTGTCCCTCTCTGGCCCCACAGCTCCCCCGGGCCCATTCCATTTTGATGGCACCTTATCTGTGGTGAGGGCCACCCGTTCTTCCTCCCTCCGTCCCATCCCTGTGAGTATCTTCTGCTCCCTGGTCTTGAGCCTCTGGGGCCCGAGCTGCCCGGGCATTGGTTGGAGGCAGCCCTGGTTCAGAGCGCAGCTCTGGAGTCACTAGCTGGGTGATCCTTGACAGTTTGTTCGACCTAGCCAGCCTTGCTAAGCCTTCATTTCCTCTTGAGCAGGAGGTCAGGCTCTGGATGTCTCCGGAGGTTGTCTGAAGGTTTGGGCAAGCTGAGGCAGTTGGAAGTTACTCTGAGGTGTGGCATGAATGAGGGCATGGCTGTGATGGGCAGTGATGACCTGAGCTACCCCCGAGTCCCCCGCCCCAGCCCTGCTCTGGCAGCCCCTGCAGCTGCTCTGAGTAAGGGAGCAGGGCCAGCCACTGCATTCTGTCTCACTGCTGTTCTCTGCTCTCCCCGCAGGTGGAAGGCTTTCGGGCCACCATGGCGCAGCGCCTGGTGCGCGTGCTGCAGATCTGCGCTGGCCACGTGCCCGGTGTCTCAGCTCTGAACCTGCTGTCCCTGCTGAGAAGCTCTGAGGGCCCCTCCCTGGAGGACCTGTGAGGGCGACTGGCCCCCGGGCTGCCTCCGCCCATGGCTTCGTGCTGACTCCATAAACATTCTCTGTGGAGGATGTCCAGTCAGGGCTTGACAGGCCCAGGCTCAGCCTCCAGTGGTTGGGAAGGCTCCCTGTAGCACCTGTGCTCCAGCAGGGAGAGCTAGGCAGAAGCAGCGAGGGGGCCCAGCTGGTGGGACTCCAGCCCCCTCCCACTCCCACACTCACTCTTGCAGAGCCTTGTGTCTTTAAGCAGCTGGCGTGTTACATCTCCATTTAAGGTTTCCTTCGAATAAAAGGTCTGTGACTAAAAAAAGTTGAGAAATCACTGGTCTCATTCACCACTTTATAGGTACGGAAACTGACTCAGAACAATTAAAGAGTAGGGCAGGGTGGGCCGGGTGCAGAGGCTCACGCCTGTAATACCAACACTTTGGGAGGCCAAGGTGGGTGGATCACTTGAGATCAGGGATTTGAGACCAGCCTGGCCAACATGGTGAAACCCCCTCTCTACAAAAATTAGCTGGACATGGTGGTGGGTGCCTGTAGTCCCAGCTACTTAGGAGGCTGAGGCAGGAGAATCACTTGAACCCGGGAGGCGGAGGTTGCAGTGAGCTGAGATTGCGCCACTGCACTCCAGCCTGGACAACAGAGTGAGA